ACTCAACCGTTACTCGTTGGTCTAGTTTACCAGTTAAAATGTGCCACCGTATTTTGCAGTTCATTAGACTGATTCTCATGCTTCTAAGGCGCTTTTTTATATTACCATTCAAGATTTTCTTCAATAAATTTGTTAGTATGAAAAAAAAATGGTGGCAAGTACATCTTAGAAGCAAACTTTAGTTTGCTTCTAAAGTTAGTTTGCTTCTAAAAGTTTGCTTCTTGGAACTAAAGTTTTGAGATTACATTCAAAAATTTATGGTGAGGGAAATCCTCCAGCAAACGAAACTTTTGTTGAATATAATTAAAGGACGGCAATTAAATTGGATTTCAAATGAAATTGCGAATCAACAGCTTTTGTGCCCATTATTTTCATTTCAGAATTGGAATGTTGCGGCGTTTCTTGACAGCATGCAAAATGAACAAATGATTACAAATTCATAAAATATGAGAAATACTGTATTGATATTACGATAGCATTTCTATTCTTATAGATTAAAACGACCTCTATTTCACGGTTTTGATTTGTAACTTCTTTGATCTTTTATGGAGAAGTTTCCTAGTATTTGTATATTCATTTAATTCCATTTAATTTTTTTTACTGATGCATCAAATGTTGCAACATTGCGCTACTTCTACTATTTACTTTCCAATTAGTACGTTATTCATTTCTTGTAATTCAGTCATCTTGCTTTAGCTTTTACTTATTCCATGTCAAATAAAAAATCTTTTTACGGGTAACTAATTTTCATCATGATTTATGTATTTGTTTTCATTATGCCTCTCATTGTCTTTGTGGTCTCATTTGTTGTTATATCTTGAGAAAGATTACTGACGGTTGAGTAATTTGAAATTTTCATGAAAGAAAAAGTCCTTTTAAAAATTTGAAAGGTCTAATTCTTTTAATTTAGTAGATCTATGCAAGCGAATAATATTACTCACCGTCTTTAGACATAATTCTCTTAGTCATTTTGCAGCAGGGAAATTCTCATTAGAATGAAGTGTTCAAATAAATTTTTGATTTTCTTGACAACATCTAACAAATATGTTGAGGGGAAACATTAAGTGTTAAAGATAGTTTATGTTCTTACTTTTTTTAATAACGACAACCTCTTATTTGATACCCTTGGCTATAATTTTTCCATTCTTTGATTTTTTGGTTCAACCAGTACATTAAAATATTTCTGTATTTGCCCCACTTAATTTGATTTTAATTTTCAGATTTAATTTTAAATGGTTTAATTATTCCATTATTATTATTATTTTTTTTTTTTGCGAAAATATATGCAGTAAATTAGTAATTCTGATTACAGATACTTGTATAATAGCAACAGTAATAATTAATTAATCATTTAAAAACGAAAAGGTTGTTGTATCCTTGGTAATATTAGCTCATCTTTTTTCCTACTACTATTATGATTTACAAAAAAATTTAATGAAGCTTCTTTTGACATCATCATCCCATTCAATGTACGTGGAAGTGATCGTCCATATCGTGGTTGATGCTTTATTGATTCGGTTGCTTTTAAGCGAGGACGACTTGTCCGTTTTGTATGTATTCGTGTTGGAAGTAGATAAATTTCAACACTAAAAAAACTAATTAAATTAATTAATTATAATTGGAAATAGATAAATTTCAACACTAAAAAATAAATTAATTAATTATAATTGGAATAGATAAG